CATCTGACATTCTTGTGGCTCTGCTGGCTACTCATCTGTAAAATGGGCACTTGGGTTACCATGAGCAAATTACTTGAAGCGCTAGAATACACAGTTATCAGCTATTAGAAGTGGCTGTGACTGGTGGTATTCTTGGTCCTGTCACCTGGAAACTCTACCTCTTTAAAAAAAAAATGCAGTGTAATTTACATTCCAGTATAATTTATATACTTTTATATTGGTTCCAGGTGTACAATGTAGTGAGTCAACAATTCTATATATTACACGGTGCTCATCATGATCAGTGTCCTCTTGATCCCCATCCCTCCACCCACTGCCCCTCTGGTAACCATCAGTTTGTTCTCTATGTCTGAGTCTGTTTTTTTTTTTTTTGGTCTCTTTTAAAACATGTTCTTTCTGTTTTGTTTTTTAAATTCCACATGAGTGAAATCGTATGGTATTTGTTTTTCTCTGACTGACTTATTTCATTTATTATACCCTCTGAATCCATCCATGTTTGCAAATGACAAGGTTTCATTCATTTTTAAGGCTGAGTAATATTCTGGTGTATATATACGCCACGTCTTCTTTATCCATTCATCTATCGATGGACACTTGGAAATCCTACCTCTTTGGCTTTTGTTGCTCATTCCTGGGTGAGTCTTTCTTGACAAACTTAAAACAAACAAACACACCAGAGCAGTTTCTCTTTTTCTACCAGATTCTTAAGATCCTGATGTTTTCTGAGTTCTATCCTCCATCCACACCTTTCTTTTCTCCCTAATCTCTCCTCCTCTCCATATCCCTAACTCCCACTGCCACCCTGCCAACCTTCCACATCACCTCTTTTCAAAGCACAGGGTATTCATGGCAACCCCAGACTGAACTCATTCTCTTCCTTCTTTCAATCTAGTTTTCCTCTTTGGCTCTTGACCTATTGCCCCATAGGAAGCTGGGTGTTTTTGTTGCTTCCCTTAACTGGTATCGAGTGCCAGCTATGACCTGCCCCGTGCTGGTCACTGGGGATGCAGCAGTGTGCACACACAGGGCTTGCCATGCTTGCTGCCGGTGGGAGGCACATATATTGATCCATGATGTGTCCTCCGAAGGTGACAAACTGGGGCCCTAATTTCGATTGGGAAGACTTTCCTGGGAAAGGACATTTGAACTGAGATCTGAAGAATGATGAAGCCTTAATTAGGCAAACTGGGGCTGGGGACCATTGTGGGCAAAGGTCAGAGCTTGTGCAAAGGCTTTGTTTTAGAAAGAAAAATGTTTAAGGAGTGGAAAGGCAATGGGCGGAAGGGCATAGAAGGTGGTGGAATGTGGTGTTGGGTGAGGCTGGGGAGCGGGACAGGGGCTGAATGGTGCATGGCCAGGAAGGTCCAGTCACTGTCAATCTTTCTAGGCTCCTCCTTGCTGCTTATGCCCACCCCTTTCCACCGATTCCTTCTCTTTAACCCCTCTCCCATCCCAAGATTCTCATTGTTCACATATAGGAAATTAAGACAGCCTCTTGCCACCTTCAAATTAATCTTTTGCATTATAGTCTTAAGTGGAATTTCTAAAATGTAAGTCTGAATAAGTCAGTCGTCAGGCTCCAATCCTCCCCTGGCTCCCCATTTTCAGGACAAAGTCCTGCCCAGCTTCCTTGCTTATTAGCTCCCTCACGTCCCACTCCTGCCCGCAGTTCCCCAAAGTTGGTCCAGAATTTGCTCTGGTGCCTGGAAGCATTTGCCTCCTTCATCTATCTAGTGATGTTCTGCTACCTTGCAAGCCACAGCTCACCCACCTCCTCCAGGAAGCCCTCCCTCCATATGCAAGCTGATGTGCCGTTCCCTCCTCTTTCCTGGATGCATGTGCACACTGGTGCATTTGTTCTGTTTCCCTCTTTGCTTGTTGACTTGTACGTCTTCTCTACAAGACTGAGCTCCTGGAGGGAGGGCACTGGGGGTCCTTTACCTTTGTCCACAAGGCTGGCCACATATGAGATGCTTAATACACGTTTTCTTGTGGTGATGAAGGAATACCATGGCATAAGCAGGTGGTGAGAAATGAAGCTCCATCAGGAGAGCTCTGTGTATAGAAATGATAGTTAAGAGGTCTGGTTTCTATGACCTCCATGTACTCTCTGCTTCTGTTTCCCCTAATGACCAGGCACCAGTCTCACTGTCCCTACCCACCACTTCCATCCATCCCAAAGGGTAGGTGCACCAGGGTGGGCAGAGTCAAGCCTAAATATATTCATTCTTCCCGTGGAGTGGTTCTTAGACTATAGTGTGCACCAACATCACCTGGAGGGCTTGTTAAAACAGAGATTTCTGGCCCCATCCCCAGAGTTTCTAATTCAGTCGATCTGAGGTGAGCCTGAGAATATGCATCTGTAACAACTTCCAGGTGATGTTGAGGGTGCTGGTCTGGGGACTACTCTTCAAGAATCTCTTTTCTAGCAAAAGGGTTTGCTCTAAAAATAATTATCCTCTATGGTGTTGGGGAAGGAGACACGGGAAGCTTTTTGCTTGGGTTTGGTTTTGTAGGTTTAAAGACGTATTAGTATGAGATTAATGTGGATAGATGGATCAGATTCTACACACTTCCCTCCTCCCCCATCTTCTGGCTTTCCCACAAAGTATTTCCACGTTCAATTCATAAGCTATTCAATGAATATGTTCTGAAGGTGTAATATGTGAGTTGCAACATAAGGGGTGGTGTTGTTATTAAGATAAATTGTTATGAAACCATCCTTAAGAGAAGTCCTCCAGTACAGACATAACTATAATTCAAGGAGCTCAAAGAAGAAATGCCTGCTTGGATGGGTTGTGATTCCCTGATGAGTGGAATTGTCCTAGGCATCTAGTATTAGTGGGAATAAAACAATTTAATAAGTAAGACCACATGACTATTAAGATAGTGGAATTCTGTGATTAAGGAAGACAGTGGTAATTGACGCAACAAAATGGCACAAATGGAATCTGTGGAGTTTATAGTAGTAGGGAGGTCTCCAGAGTCCCCTGAGGCCTCCTCATGGAAATTCTGATATTATTATCCTTATTTTTAATAAACATTTATTCCTCACCAGCAGTATGCTTGGCTACTAAGTGGATTTATATCCTGTGACCCCATAATTTGCTGTTTATTGACCTCAGATCATTGAAAAGGTTAAATAGAAGAAGCCACAAGCAGGCCCAGAGTGCACCTCAGGGGCCTCTTTAGGTCCCATTTCCCGAGTCAAATGGAATTGAGATGTGTAGTGCCATTTTATTTTTTTGAAATAGTTACAGCATAGAGAGAGAGAGAGAGAATGTAAGTAGCCAATTGTAGGACTTGAATTGATAGTCACTAGGTCACCAATGTGAATTTCAGACCCTCATCTTATTAAGAAAGCCCAACCAATTGCTAAATTCCATTGTTTGAGGCCAGAATCAAAGCCCTCTCTTTCGGGGGGGGGGGCAGGATCTAAGGTGTGGCAGGCTAAGCTGAAGCCTCTTGCCCCTCGCCCCTCATTTATCGAGCATCTGTTATGTGCTGGGTGAGATATTTTACAAATATTATCTGTAATCCTTCAAGGTAAGTAGTACTACCATCATTTTAGATAAGAAAAAAGGCACAGAAAGACTATGTATTTTGTCCAGTTTCACACAGCAAAACTCAGTTCATTTTTGGAAGTCAGCATAACCATAAAATCGAAACATGGTAAAAGATAGGTCAAAAATTCTAGATTTATCTCAAGTGTGAGTATAGATCCAAAATGCAAGATTAGAAAGTAGAATGCAGCAGTTTATCAGGTGGATAATACACTCTCACCAAATGGAGAGCATTCTAGGAATATAAGAATGGTTCAATAAGAAGAAACATTAGAAAATCAACATAATTCACCCTATCAACAAACTGAAGGAGAGTCATATACTAGTAGATGCTCAAAGGCTTATCAGATTCTCCTGTAATAAAACTCTAACCCAGGGATAAGAGGAACTACTTCAATTTGATAAAAGCTAAAAATTAGCCACATGGATCATTCTAAACAGTGCCACTAAATCCAACTTCATTAAAAGTGAGGGTGATCTGGTCTTAAGCCATTTAGGTGGATTTCTGCTTCTCAGGTACTGGGCAGCCAACCAATGGAACTGCTTCCTTTTCTTCTTCTGTGCCCCACAGAACCATGTTTATATTGCTTAGTGCTCTCATCTCATACCCTCCAAGTGAGAGGTTGTGCTTGTGAGGACACATTCCTAGATTTTGGGTATAGGAGTCTAGGATATGGGAGGCTCCCTGGGGCATTAAGGACTTAAGCTCTTGGTTGCCACAACTACCAATGATGGCTTGGCTTCATGGTTTTTATGGCAGGAGTGGAATGTGTTTTTCTGGCACAAAAGCACTGCGTGATACAACAAAAATATTATCTGTATAAAGCTTTTGCACTTTATACGGAGTTAACCACAGCCCGGTGGAAGGAGCATTGCATGGAATCCAGGAGACCTGGGTTCTAGTGGCTCTGCCACAGCTAGCTGTGTGTTCCTTAGGCTTTCTGGGCCTCACTTGCCTCATCTGTGCTGTGGGATGTTGGACTGGATGGACTACCAGGGCTCTTTGACCTCAAAGTTACAATAGTCATCACCCCTACTGGGTGCCTGGCACTGTTATAAGTGTTCTGCATAGAGATTAACTCATTACAACAACTCTATGAGTAAAATACTATTATTATTCCCATGTGTCCTCTGAAGAAACTGAGGCACAGAGAGGATAAGTGACTTGCTCAGGGTATCACAGATAGGAAATGATGGAGCTCTTACACAGTTCAGCTTCCATCCTTTATTTTTCTGGTTTTTCTTTTTGGGCCAGTATTGTTACTGTAGTGTTGGTTCTGTCCAGTGGGATAAGGATTATTCAGGGGGTGAGACATTTTTTAAGGGAAACCCAGATCTGGGATAGATGGATGGGAGTCACTGCCTGGGAGAATGATGGCAGTAACTGCAGAGGTTGCTAATCATTGCTTTTTTCCCCTCTTCTCTTTTCCTGTCTAGTCTGCGGCAAGCGCTACAAGAACCGGCCAGGACTTAGCTACCACTACGCTCACACTCACCTGGCCAGTGAGGAGGGGGATGAGGCTCAAGACCAGGAGACCCGCTCCCCGCCTAACCACAGAAATGAGAACCACAGACGTGAGTTCCCAGTTGTTGGGTTGGAGCAGTGGATGCCCTTGAAGTGGGTGGGGCAGGGCCATAGAGTATTCTTTTCACCTCTGGCATCTTTGGTGACACCCATTGATTGGTTTCAATGTTTTGTGGTGACTTGGCTCTTTTAACCTAGCCCCAGCTGTCCTGTGGGTCATCTGAGCCCCAGGCTTAGACTGAGCTGGGCCAGGAGGCATATCCAGTTCTGTTCCCAGAGAAGGGAGGTGAGGGTTAAGATGGAAACATCCTTAACTGGCCATTGTCAAAGGCCAGACCTATTCCTCTTCCCTCAGTTCCAGAAGTTCCATTTACAGGTACTAACCTGACTTGGGCATAGCCCTTGCACATGTCGGTTTAGATGGACATTTCAAATGTTGCCTTGGCCACCAAGAGATGTAGAATATTCTTGATCTATTGCTTTGGCTGTTGTAGGGGTCATAATTTTGGTGTAAGGCTCTCCTGCCTTCAAAACACTGCCCTTAAGCCTCCATGCTTTTCACTTAGCAAGCATGATCTGGGTGCACTTGTCAAAAACTCAAAATGGGGTGGCATGTTGGAGTTTAGAGCTTGCTTCATGATGTGGCTTCCTTTAAATCAGGCAAAGACTAATTGCGGATACCATTTATTTTTTATTTTGTTCACAGGATTTGGGGGTAGATGTTCATAGAGTGAGCAATGCAATGTAGTTAAAGGAATCAGGCCTTTAAGAATATCCAGACTCTAGGATCTGAGGGTGACTCCTGTGCACTTTGGTCAATCAACTTAGTCAACAGATGTCCATCAGCCATTCCTCAAATGTTTGAAATCATTAACATACTTTGGCCAAGACCTTTCTTGGGATTAGCATTGGTTTTGCCTAACCCCACGCTCCTTTCTTCATGTAACATTGCCTTCTGTATTAGTGTGCTGTGCTCAGGCTGCCATAACAAAATACCACAGACTGGGGGGCTTAAAGGACAGAAATTAATTTTCTTGCTCTTCTGGAGGCTGCAAATCCCAGACCAATGTGTCATTGGGGTTGGCTCTCTTAGAGACTTCTGTCCTTGACTTACAGGCTTCCGTTCTCTCACTGCCTCTTTACCTGGTGGTCTCTCTGTGTTCACTTACCCCTGTTCTCTCTATGTGTCCAAATTTCCTCTTAAAAGGCTACCAGTCAGATTGAATTAGGGCCCACTATACCTTAATCACCTCTTGAAAGGCCCTGTCCCCAAAGAGTCACATTCTGAGGCCCTGGGGGCTGAGGTTTCAACATACACATTTTGGGAGGGAACCCAATTCAGCCCCTTCTTTAGTTCTTACTCACTTGAGGGGTTCAAACCTTTTGTATGACAGACCCTCATTTTCTTACCTGCTATTGTCATCCAGGCAGAACCTGGGAAGCAGGGCAGGAGTGTCTGACAGAGTTGCCCACCTCCCCTTGCCAGCTTCTTTCTGAGTCATGCTGAACTCTCTCTCTCTTCTCCTTGGGGAGAGGCTCCCTTGGTTCAGTCTTTCAGAAAGGAAAATGTGTGTGTGTGTGGGGGGGCAGCCAGCATTTACACCTCCCTGTTTCTTCTCTTATCCCTTCTCTGATCTGAGTGGCCTAGGCATACCTATTGTCTCTCCCGGCAAGGAGGCTGAGAAAGATCTCTTTTGATTGGGGTTGCTATCTGGAAAGTATTTATTAGCCACGGTTGCTCTCTCTGAAGTATTTGTTAACTTGGTATTATTATCCCACTCCCCCCAGTGCTGGCTTATCTTCTTTACATCTCTTCTCAAATGTCAAGCCATTGGGTCCCTGCCTTGCAGTGCTTTACTCATGCAATAGGGTTTGGAATGCTTCTCTTTTGTCTGCGTCTCTTTTGTGTGTGTGCCCAGTGATGGCAACAACAGAGGTAAGTTCCTCCTGGTCCCTAGGTACACTGCAGTCCCGAAGAGGATCAAGGAAATCTCTTCCTTAGGCATCCCCACTGGCTCCCCTGTGCGGACACCTGCTGGCTGTTGACATCCAGGGTGGGCACTGGTGTATTTCTTTCTGTCCACCAGGATCTCCTCATGTGCTCTTGGGAGCCAGTGTTTTCTGTCTTCTGATATCTTCACCGTGAGGCCAGATGGCCCTGCTTGCTTAGCCTGGAAGTGGTGTCTCTCCTCCTCCTCCTCGATGGAGATGTCCTCGGCCTGGCTGCATGTTCTCTACCCTTCCCCTCTCACCTACTGATGATAAACTGAGTTCTTCAAAAAAGCTCATCAGATGACCCAAGTGTTTTAAGCTGCATAGAAAAGAATAGATGTCCCTGGGTTCATCTGGGGCCTCCTTACATGAGGAAAGTTCCAGAACTTTCACAAACACCTTTTAATAACATCTGCTCACAATGCCTCTGAGAACTCTGGGATTAACTCCAATTTTGCTAGCAAGGAGAGTATGGCAGGAAGGCCCCCTGATCCACAGAAGCCATCCCTTCCCTCTTCCCCAGTTTCTCTGAACAAATCTAAGAGACAGCAGCTCTTCCCAGGTTCTCTGCACCACGCATGCCACCAATCTGTTTGCTGCTCCGAATGTCTGCTCCGTTCCCTCCCACATTCCCCTGGTGAACAGCCCCCCAACCATTTTCTCCTGAGCACTAATTGCCAGCATCATTAATACCCAGTCATTAGCTGCTCCCACTGTTTGGGGTGGGGGTGGGCTCCCATCCATCCTGCCCCTAAATGCCACTGGGGCTGTGTAGTGAATTGAATGCGACAGCTCTGCAGCATCTAAGGTCCCAGCTTTGTGATCCTTCCTTGGCAAGGCTTTTGGGCATAGGGGCAGGGTTGGGGGAGTAGAAGGGGCAGGGGGAGGAGGGAGGCAGGAGAGCTGAATCCAAGAGGCTAATCTGCAGTCCCTCTAGGAAAAGTTCTGGATGCCAGGGAAGTGGGAATGCTGACTTCTCCCTCTTTAGCAGAGCTGCAGGGTGGCCTAGCTGCTTGTGAGCCCATGCAGGCCGATGGGAAAAACAGCCCTACAGACTCAGGAGTTTTCTGTGGTGTGGGCATCTGCACTTGCTTGCACCACCTGCAGCAGTAGAGACCTTTTGACTTTGGTGCACCTGCTGTCCCTTGCCACACCCCCTGCCTGCGTCTCCAGCCAAGCGGCTGCTCACAACCGTGCCTGCCGCTGCTGTGGGGCACAGCGGAGTGCTGGAGCCAGCACTGACCTCCCCTCGCCCCCAGGCCTGGCTGCCAGCTCAGCAATCGACTGCCCCTGCAGCCCATGTTTTCTCGCCTTTGTTCCTTTCCTAGCCGCTCATTTTCTCCTGAGTATACACTTCTTGTCTCTTCTGCAGATTTGTCCCCTTTCCTTCATGCCCTTGCCTCTCCGCCTCAACGGTAGGCAGCCCTGGGATGCTTGGAGCTTGAGCACTCACCTTGGGAGATGGTACTTTCCTGATGGGGTCTTCCCCACCTAAGCCGCCACCCTTCCCCTCTCTGTATGAGGCTGGATTTTTCCTCCTTCTTGCATTTTTCTGACTACCTCTGTCTGCTTTCTACGAATGAAATCATCACGTATATGTATGTGTGTGTGTGCATGTGTGCGGGTGCACATACAGGTGCATACACACATAGACCACATGTATATGAATAAAAGGAAGGAGGACTGGGGTGGGTGAAGCCTTTGCGTGGTGCCACTCAGAAGCATTCTCTCTCTCTTTCTCTTTTTGGTAAATATTTGTTTCATTTTAAAATGTTTTATTTATTTGAGAGAGAGAGAGACAGAGCATGAGCACCAGCTGGGGGAGGGACAGAGGGAGAAGGAGAAGCAGACTCCCCGCTGAGCAGGGAGCCTGATATGGGGCTTGATCCCAGGACCCCAAGATCATGACCTGAGCCAAAGACAGATGCTTATTTATTTATTTAGAGAGACCCCTATTTATTTATTTTAGATAGACAGAGAATATATGAGACAGAGCAGGAGGAGGGGTGGAGGGTGAGGGAGAAGGAGGGGGAATCTCAAGGAGACTCTCCACTAAGCATGAAGCCCAGCATGGGGCTCAATCCCATGACCCTGAGATCATGAACTGAGCCAAAATCAAGAGTCAGATACTTAACTGACTGAGCCCCCCAGGCACTCCACTCAGAAGCATTCTCTCGTGACTCCTGAAATGCCACCTTGGTAAACCATCCCAGTGGGGCCAGGATAGCAGAGAGAATTGGATTAACATTTGAAACCCTTTGACCCATGCCCATAATGTCAAAACTCTTCTTGAATTTCCTTTGATCTTCTATGCACAGTGGGAATCTACCAAAGATGATGTTTTCAAGGTACTTTTATGAGGTCCTGGACCTGAATGGAAAAGCTGTGTAAATAGATTCAGTCTAATACATTCATCTGTCCATCCATCCATCTATCCATCCATCCATTGGTTTAGTATCTTGTGCCAAATGTTGCCTCAATCCCTGTCCCTGAGGAGCTCACAGGCTTGAAAAAGAGTGTGTAATGGAGTACGTCTAGACTAGGAAGGACAAAGAGCTCAAGGGCACAGTACACTTTCTACCCCTTAGGGTAGAAGTGCTCCCGGTGTAGCAAAAGAATCACCTGAGAACTTGCTGGAAATGTAGATTTTTGACTTCATCAGACCTGAAACAGAGACTCTGAGGGCAGGGATGGCAATCTGTGTTTTATAGGGCTTTTTGGTACATGCAAAGGCTTGAGAACCATTGCATTAGGGGATTTCCAAAGGCCTCACTGAGGAGGTGACATTCAGGTTAGCTCTGGAAGAATGAAGAGGAATTTCCCAGGAGGGAGAGGGCTTCCCAGGTAGAGGCAAAAGTGGGGAGGTAGAAATAGCACAATGCCCCAGACAAGTGATAGTGGTTGGGTCTGACAGTAGCACTGGAAGAATGTTGGGAAAGTGAGTGGGAGCCACTGTTGGAAGCACCTTCTATGCCAGGTCATGTAGCTGGCATCCTGTATGAAGAGGAGAGCCACAGTAGCTATTACTAGAAGGCAAGGACAGATGATTTATAGAGAA